ATCCTGTTTTAATCCTTAAATTTCGTGAAAAACTGGTGTTATTGATAAAGCTTTCATCGTTTTCTTTGGTGGGTTCTTGGTGAATTTGGTAAAGGTGCGATCTTGTTGTGTTTTCGGGGAAGAAGAGTGAGAAAGTGGCATCCGGGCTTGTCGACCCGTTCATAGCCCACTTGAGATTTGCGAGAGATCAGATTCCAAAAGGTGGCTATTCGATTACCCTTCGGCCGCCGGCCAAGGCCGATGATATATCATGGTTCACAAAGGCCACATTTCAGAGGTAATTAAAAGGACAAAATACAAATGTTGTCATTTTTCTTCTTTTTTTTTTTTTTTTGTTTTGGTGAATTATATGACGATCTTGTTATAGATTACTGCATTTAAGACGAGCGGTGGAAACGTTTGGCGTGTCGATTTTGGGGGATAAAGTCTGAAATCTTGTAGAATGTTTTTGGTTTGAGGTGTTAAAAATACATCTTTGAGATGATTTTTGTTGTTGTTGTTGTTATTTGTGGCTGGCAGATTCGTACGCTTCGTGAGCACCCCTGAAATTCTCGAGCGGATTGTACGAATTGAAAGAGAAATTTTGCAAATTGATAGTTCAATTCAGACTACTGATGTTCCAAGGTTGGAGGGGACAGGACATTCCAGGGAAGGTACTATGGACCCTATGGATATAAACTTGCTTTGTTTATATATTGTGAGATTTGATAACACCTCCATAGTTCATTTCTTGACTCGGTTGCTCTTTTTAAAATTATTGTTAAGTTCTGTTAATTTATTCGATGTTGTTTTACATACGAAGCCCATTGTATTTTCAGAGAGCTTGTTGGCTGCCGATGGGAATATAAGAAAGGGAAATGGTTCCACAAAGGTATTCTAATTTCTAACATACAGTGAGTGACCAGTAAATAATATTTCGTTTTCCTTTCTTCTTTTAACTAATTTGAGTTTTATCATGGCTATTGTAGTCAATCTCTAAAGAAGAAGATCATGGGGCCGCACCTAGAGAAAATTCAAGGTATCTGATCTTTCATTTTACGTCAATGAAAATTTAGTCACGCTACAATGAATATATTTGCGATAACTTATAGGCATTTGCTTTTTGTCCTAAGTAGAGTTCGTCTCCAGCGTGTGATGGATACTAGGAAAGCATTACTACAGAAAGAGCAAGCTATGGCTTATGCTCGTGCAGTCGTGGCAGGATATGAGATCGACACCATTGATGATCTCGTGTGCTTTGCTGATGCATTCGGTGCGTCACGTCTGAGGTAAAAATCTTATATATTAGATTTTTTTTTTTTGGCATATTATTTAGCAGTCTTTCTAAACGCATGCACCCAATTAATACGCTTGTCGAGGCCCTTACAAGTCAAGAACCGAGCTATGTGAAAGCATTACACTTGGCTTTAAACGAGTGGGTATCATGATAGTTTTTTAAAGTTGCATCAAATTTTGTCATTTTCGAAGTTTCTAAAATATAAAAGATTATCCCGACTTGCGAAAAATACAGGTTTTTTGGCACTATTTTTTATGTCCATTTTTTATAGCTTTATAAAGATATTTCCACCCTGATATCCATTTCGTCTTATTATTTGTCCTGAAGAGACGCATGCATTGATTTCAAGGAGCTTTACAAGAGAAAGCATTCAGATAACCAATGGATGGACGAATTAGCTGCAGTACAAGCATGCCCTGTGACTGACCTTTCCTATGTGGGAGCATCTGGAATTATGCTAACGGCTGATAGTATTAATGGCAACATGAATCTACCCGACTCATTTGCTACTCCAACCAAAGGCATATAACATATATTTCCTTTGCCTTTCTAACAAAATTCAATACATAATACACTTATTATAACTTGCTTAGTTACAACTGACCTTTTATACTTCTCTTATGGAATATTACTAACTCCTTTACATTTAGGCTTTGTTCTAATGTACGTTTTCTTTTCTCATCCTTGTTTTTTCTCATTGGTCACAGAAAATAATGGTGCATCAACTGAACAAAAACCGAACACTCAACAGATGCCGTGGATGAACCAGATTCCACCCTACATGTACAACTTCCCGGGATATTACCCTTATTACCCGGGCAATGTGGGGTTGGCCTCACCAGGCGTTATGGTGACATCAAAGACTCACAAACCATCTCGGAGAAAGGAGAAGTCTATTGATGAAAACGGCACAGATGCCTCTGAAGAGGACGGACAAACTGAATCGGGCATGGGGACTGATTCAGACGAGGCAAACCAGAACGATAAGATACTTTCTTCAAAGGGAAAGAAATATTCTAGCAAGAACAAGAGAAGGGGTTCGAAAACAGTCGTCATTCGCAACATAAACTACGTTACATCCCAAAGGCGCAATAATGGGGAGGACAATGAAAATAGTGAAGATTTTTCAGAAGGCGATGAAGTTTCTATTAGAGAAGGGGTTGACAATGCAATTGCATCCCTAGAGAAGTACACACACTCGAAAGCACATAAAAACAGAGGAAAACAGGATAATGAATATAGCATCAATTCAAATACTTCTGATGGAGGCAATACAAATAATGCTTGGGATGCTTTCCAGAATCTTCTCTTAACTCATGAAGAGTCTAATTCCAGTGAATTACCTAAGCATAACCCTGGGGAAGAACATTATGGCATGAAAAGCTCTAACGGAGGGCTTTTGAAAAAGACTAGCAGCGGTGTTGATGATTCTGTTCTTGTGGTTCAGAGAGAGGGGTCGAACGGCGGCCAAGGACTCACAGTTGATTTTGCTAAAGGTGAAGATATTCACTTACGTACGAAGAGTATTTCTGTTGAAGGCGAGAATGCGTTGTTTTCAGAACAATATAGAGGAAGTAATACAATGTTGAATTCTCCCGATTTTTCCGCTGAGCAAACCACTGTCAAGAATAGGAAAGAGAAAGATTGGTTTATTGTTAATAGTTCATCTGAATATTCAGAAGCACAAGGCAAATGTTTGAACTATGAAAATGGCATTTTTTGTAAAGAAACAACTAAGGGAACTCCCATGATCGACGATTCGTTCATTATAGAGTCGAGACCAGCAGTTGACGAGCACTATACGCCTCATTGGACGACTGAAATAAATATTGATGCCAACGTCGATATGCCCAAGCCAGGAAAAGGTAGCCCGACTGTTTTAGGCTCCACCGAGCCTGATGACCTCAGCATGATGCTTGTGAGAGAGTCACAGGAATCTAACGCCTCATGGACACCGGAAATGGACTATCAAGTTGAAATTTCTTTTAACGAAGCTGATAAAAAGCCTTCTGGTGTAGCATCAAATGGCCACACTGGAAAAAATCCTGTGGTGAATGGTAAAAATGTCAATGGCAAGAAAAATGCGGGACCCACAATGAAAAAGATTGGGAGGGACTTGTCGAGAACTTTGTCGGGGACCCTCGCGAGGAGCAAAGTGGATTCTGTTTCCAAGAGCAAGAAGATGTCTCCAGCAATGGCACATAAATACAAGCTGATGAAGGTGATAATAATTGCATGCATATTTGCTCCTGGATTGAACTTTCCAGATTTTTAATTTTTACAACCTACACCTGAACGTAACTCGAATATGTGCTAGAATCTTATGCTGAGACCCTTTATTAACCATGGTTCGTTTTGCATTTTACCAACTCAACCTTTCCTTTTCCTTTTCTTTGGATACAAGTTTGCCACATGAACAATTTGCTTTTTCTATTTCACTTTGCTTCTTGAACAAGAAAATCACTCGTGCATGTCTATTGTTCATATCATGACGTTTATGTCAACCCATCATAGAACGTGAGATGACTCAGCAAGGCAACTTGAAAGCAAATATATAGTTTCTGAGCGTTTGCTTAGTAAATTTAAAACTCAAGGGGTATTTGACTACTGGAGTTTTCTATGATTAGACCAAACCCCACAACGCCTTTTTTTTGTGTGTGTGTGTGTGTGTGTGACAATTTTTTATGTATTATTTGCCGTGCAGGAAGAAGAAGAGCGTAAGAGAATGGAAGAATTGCTCATTCAACGTCAGAAGAGAATTGCAGAAAGGACAGCTGCCAGCGGCTCGAATTCCGCAGCATGTAAGAAGTCCCCGGTCGGGAATAAGTCAACCCCTCCAAAACCCGAGAAGAAGAGATCTCCATCCATGGCTCAAAAAGTTAGGTCAAGCTACTAAACTCACTACATAATAACAGAGGTTTGCAAGAATGTTATGTTTGGGAATATCACGTGTGGAAAAATATTCTACCGCTTTAGAAAAGTGGTTTGTGTGTGTTATCATGGCTGTGTCCACTCTGGTTGGTAATTTGCTGTATTTGTAAAGTGTTGGTCTTTTTATTATTAGTTAAAAAAAGTTTGTATATTCATCATTTATGTTATAAATAGTGTGTGTGTGACAGAATAATGGGATTTGATACGCGTGTGTTGAATAAATTGTTTGTTGAACTTATATATAGATTTCAGTTCATTTGCTATAGTAGGATAATGAAATGAGTTGTACATTTCTTGGCTGTATCATTGCAATATAGACATGCCCGCCGTCCCGGCACCGGACCG